CGCTTTAATTCAAGGGTCTCTTTAAGACTTTAAATGTCTGTTGTTCCTTCCTCACATTGTTAACGTTCCCGTAGCTCTATCTGCATACAATATCTAAAGCTGACGCCGGGCTTGTCAAGAAAGGAAAATATTTGTGGGAAGTCGCTATTGCTACGACACAATGCTAAAACGGTAGGTAGATTTATTTGCAAAATTGTTTGAGTGCTGAATAGCTTTCTTTATTGTGAATTAATTCGAAAGGTTTTGATAAAGTATGCACGGCTGTCTTATGTTGCTAGCTCTCCATGGAACTCGCAACAACTAAATCAATTTGCGATTTACTCCATCTTGGATGTTATAAGCAATATGCTGTGCAGGCATTCTTAAAAAATCGCTCTCTGTTCCTTTTCAGTGTGGTTGATATTTTTTGTTTCTCAAGTATACCACAGCTCGGTATTTATCGGCTACCTTCCACTTTCACCGTCCTCGGTCGGCCCCTTGGCCAGCGGACCAGACGGTATACACCAGCCCGCACGCAGCTTATACCCGCGTGCCGCAGCCGGCCGGCTGTCCGCGGCGGTGACCGTGATTTCCCGTCTCCAGCGCTACACATCTGCTACCGCCGGCCGGCCATATGCAGCGCTGGTCCCGGGAACACGCAGACCGTGGTAATTAAACTGCCCACGGCTCTCTGCCTTATTCTTTCTCTTCATATCGCTCTCTTTCTTCTCCCTCTATCCGTCTCACTCTTCAGCCTCCTGTCATGAACGGTTGTCCATCTCCACTGTCTCTGGGCTCTGTCGGCCGGGTCTCCCACTGACGAGAATAGTGGTGCCCCGGTGGCCCAGTGCTGACCGTACTGCGGGTTTGCAGCGTCATCAGGTTGTCATTATCACCTTGATGATTATTATTGTGGTCGCAGTGGGTTCCCACGCTGGTAACCGCAAATACCAGGAAGGTGCGGATGGAATTTGTGCGATGTGGGCCAGTTATGCCAAGGAGGTCTTGGGGTACTCTGAATTCTTTTTCATTGTTATTGATTGTCGATGGTCTTAATCTGTGCTCAGATGATGCTCGGTATTGCCCAAATGTGGGCACGCACTAGCTGGTGAGGATCCACTCGTTTTTCGTCCGAAAGCCGGGATCTGGTTCATGCTTATCAGCTTCCACGTTCGTTTTCGCCTTGCGGTTAGGGATAGATCTGAAGCCTCCCTGCTCGAGGCTAGGTCAGAGACGCTCCCCTATCAAGGCTATGTCGGCGCTGCTCCCCGTCGCTCCCCGTCGCTCCTCCGAGCTCAGCCGTCGGCGCCGTCAGCGCGGGCTGGAGTTCCCGCAGCGGCCGCCGGGCGGCGCTGCCGTCGCGCCGCTCCGGCACCTCTGGTTGCAGCTCATCTGCAGACGCTGTGGAGGGTCGGACTGTGTGGGCGGCGGCGACCATGGCGGTCCGACGGGGCAGCAGCGGTGGCGCCGACCAGCTCATGGCGCAGATGCGGGAGAACCTGGTGCGAGAGCTGAAGAGCGTCCAGCGGTCCGCCAGCCTGCGAGTCCGCAGCACGGCGCCAGATTCCGGACATTGCCCGAGAGGTTGGTTAGACCGGAGGTGTGTGGCATCGCTGGAATGGCCTGCTCTTCCCATCTCCTAGAGGTCGTTTGTTCAGAGGTCCACGGCAGCTGTGTGGCATCTGCTCTATTTCCGGAGCACAGAGCTCTTTCGGATCTGAGATGCAAGGTCATTGGAGACTACCTAAATACGTAAAATCTCTTGTTTTCCAGAAGTCCATGATCTATGGTTTAGTGCCCCATCACCCCTCGGTCGTATCTCAGCTTCTCTCCTCCCGGAGATCGGCAAATTGTTACTGTCAGACGGTGGCTGCTTGTCAGGCTCCGTATCCGCTTTGCTGACGTCTATAAGCATGTGCTACTTTTGCTCTTTACTTTCGTTGCGCTATCAATCGTTGGACAGCCGTCAGTCAGTGTCGTGACCGGTTACGATAGGCATCCTCCTCGACTCTGCATGATTCTGATCAGCACGGCACATGGTTGATGATGATTGATGATATAACCTTTGCGATGGATACGCGTGCGATCACAGGAATATCCCCTTGCTTTGTGCGTGTATCTGGACCGGCGGTGGTGCCCGCGGTGTCGCCCGTTGGACACGGTCCACGGCGACGCCAGCTGCTGCTCCGTTAGTGGCGCACACAGTGGCGCATCTGCCGCCGTCTGGGCGCCTGCAACAGTGACTCGGCTGGCGTCGGTCGGGTCCGGCCGCCGGAGCTCGTACACGGCTCCCGTGCGGCGCGAGCAGATGGCGGGCTGCGGCCGGCGCTGTGGGTAAACCGCTCGGGCTGCGGTGGCACGCCGCCGTCCCAGCCTCCACCGCCGTCCCAACCCGACCGCCGGCTCCGCTCCCGGCAGACCAGAGCAGGGAAGGGTGGGGAAGTGCTCCGACGCGCTGCTGGCTGGGAGGTGTAAGGGTTCTGAAGTCCAGGTCCTATAGGCTAACTCCTCGATATGAGAAGTTAAGTTCCTATGCGTCTACTGGGGCATTTTCCTTTGATGAGCCGTGTCAGTGGTTGTGCGTAGCGGCCATAGCAGGTCAGCTCGAGCTGGGTAGCCGTCTTCTGCCGGAGCCACCGGGGACTGAAAGGTTCAACCATGAAAATGGTCGGGCGCTCCTATATTTGTCACGCAACGCCCAGGCGTAGTGTTAAAAATCGGGTCTTCGGGTCGGGTCGACGCTCATACCCCCTTTCCCCATCGGCTGAATGTGTCCGTGTGACGATGGCTGAAAGAAGCGGAGCTATCGCTTGTTTTCTAAATACGAAAATCGGTAGCTCTATCGTTAATTAGCCCACTTGCACGATCTTCGAGACAGCATCTGTGGTTTACGCTTTCACGGTGCACGTCTGGATAGAATCATTGTAGAAAGATATGCCTGACAGTGAAACGGAAGCCCTCATAAATGTGAGATATTGCTTTTCATGACATTGTTTTCACTGCGGCTTATAGTTGGCCGCGCGTTATGGGAGCGCCAGCCGAGGACCAGCTGCTAGGTATAGCTCTCCGATTAGAGCACTTCATGGGCCGGATAAATCCGTTATCCACGGATAAATCCGCGGACCGGATAGGATTGGATTCTAAATTTGTTAAAAAAGAACGGATATGGGCGGGCCGGATTTGGGAATTGAAGGTTGAACCCGGATCAAAACGGATCAAAATTTTAACATTCAACATTGAAGTTAAAAATTGATACCTAGTTTACCAATGTGGTGATTTTCATGTGGTTTTAGGTTTATAAGCATGGTTTTTGGAACCATGATGGTCTGTGAGATGTATGGCTGTCTGGTCCCTTAGATTGAATTTGTTAGTCCAGTTTTGGTGAAACCAGTTATTGGTGAAACGGATTATTACGGATATTTTTTGGAAGTTTGGCTGCAATACGGGCCATGGGTGGGCCGGATTCTGATATTCAAAGAAAGGCGGATAATGGGCGGATCTGGATATGACTTGCCGGATATGGGCCGGGCCGGATCCTAAAAAGCCTATCCGTGAAGTGCTCTATCTCCGATATCGCCTCCTGGGGAGGCAGCTGCGCGCACAATTAGGTGCCGGCCCCGGCGGTGTTTCGCTTTCTGCGCCCGGGTGCTACCTAGCAAGTGTGCGGAATGTGCTGGTTCGGTTTAATTTAGAAGCACTCAGCAGCGCCTCCATAACGCCCTTTGTGGGTGAAAAGCGATCCGGAGTATCAATAGAAGAGCTGGTGTGAACCGATGATACCGTGCTGTGGTCTTATTTATCTGGTCTATTGCCCTAACTGTCTCAAGATTGAGTCAGTCAGAGCTTTATAATGACCTGTCAGCCGGGACGCGTGAGCCTGATTAGTGTTTAATTATTCACGTCCTCCTACCTGAGTTCGTGCGTGGCGTGTGGCCCACATTCTCCCGCGACTCCTCTTTTAACGGCACGCCACAGCGCGGCGCTCTCCTTAGAATAGCTGCATTTATCCTTAGTGTTGTTGACCGAGTTTTGGGTGCCGCCCCTGCTCCCTATCCCCACGACCTCGGTCTTATCCATTCCATATCTACCTATTTCCAGTAGATGCAGCCAGAGGCAGCTTGATCGGAATGTGATCGGCTGGGCCCGCCGACATGCTATTTATCTCAGTCTGCCGTTGTGCTCGGTTTTCGGCTGGTAATTTAGAACCCTGCAACCGAACGAGCGGTCTTGGAGAGGGGGTGTAGAGGAGAATAACTACGTCACCGTAATACACATAAAACAGCGTATTTCTCCAGCAGCCGAATAACTGAGAGGTGCCATTTGTTCCGACTTCCGGGGCGCTGTCGTCTCTGTGTCACTCGGCCCCGTCCCGCTTGGCTGCTGTCCCTCATCACCGCGCCTGCATTGTGTTACAAAAGTCATCTGGTGCTGGGGCGGCGCCGACACCGACTCATAAAAGTTGGAGCGCCATGTCTGCGGGAGACGTCCCCGTCAGTCCTGACTGCGGCGGCGGCCGGCGAGCCGTGAGGTCGACCCGACGAGCCGTGAGATATGGAGTCGGGCGGGCTGTGATGGGCGGAGGCCGGTTCCGACCGGTACCACCCGTGCCAGGTGCCCCCCACGACCCCCGCCCGGGCCTCACGCAGGTCACGCCGGGTCGCGCGGCCGACGGAACGGCGCTGTCCCGGCTGAGTGGCTGCCTTTGAGTCCGTCGGGCGCTGCGCGGCCCTAATTTGGGAGACAATCTGCGCCTCTGACGGCCTGACGAGCCCGGCGTGCGCCGAGGCAGTTCAGAAGTTGTGTGGGGTAGAAAGTGGTCCAAGGAGACGGCAGGTCGTCGGTGCGGCGAGCGGTGCCTCGCTGCGACGGCTCCATACATGCTCGTTAATTTAGTTCAGACCTTTCCACAACTTTTTTACTGCCGAATATTAATTTGTGGGGACAAAACGTTCCATGTTGAGGGGATTGAATAGGCTGTCTCACGGTGTGTGGGCTGACGTTGGCCATTTGTCTGCTTTCAGCCTCGAACAAGGCCGACTACGGTCTGGACGAGCTGCAGCACCTGAACGTGAAGGACCGCTTCTCCGTGTTCGAGCGCGCCAACAGCGACGAGCTGGAGAAGACGCCCACCTCGGTCGAGGTCAAACGCTCCCAGAGCATCCTGGACAAAATGAAAAAGTAAGTTGACTACCCGAATCGTTGTTTGTTGCCTTTCTCTGGTCCAGTAATGTGGAGTGTAATTGCCAATGGGCACTCTGATACACCAGAGTCACTTGAAATTAATTTTCCACTAACAATTAAAGGTTTGCCTTCATTGTCAAACTAGCTTGCAAGCTCAAATTAGATTGCTGACTCTGGAGTGTCTGAATGGGGTAAGGTCAACAGTGAGAAGAAATTCGTGGAGAAAAAGGCCGTCATCCGTCATGCCAGTGTCGATATCTTCCCTGTTTCCCTGTCGGCGCCGGCGGGTATCAGTAGTTCCCGTCTTTGCCACTAGGTTCGACCGGACGGCGGCGCGGGAGGCGGCCTCTCCGGAGGAGTCCGAAGACTCCGGGGACGAGGGACGAGACCGAGACACGGTGCGCTCCTCCACCAAGAAGGAGCGACCCATCGGACTGGCCGGACTGGGCGACGTCAAGAGCCGCTTCGAGCGGGGCGGCGTCGCCAATGACTCTGACCCAGACCCTGCTAAGGGCGAGGCAGCCAAGCTGCGCGGCATGATCTGCGGCGTGAGTACCGGCGGCGGCCGCCAGAGGCGCCACATTCGGCCTGCCGTGACCGTGCGGCGTGGAGGTAGACGAGAGAGGAGTAGTTGCTGCTGAAATGAGCTGGTAGTTCTAGCCATTAGCCAAGCTCTTTGGATAGCAAACAGAGCGACAGTATCGAGATTAATGTAGCGAGAGCAGTGCTCGCAGCCTTAGAGATGTCTTTCGCTGTAGCGTAGCTCGATAAATGCCCGATCCGTCAAGTGTGTTGTAATGTGTATGCTTTATTTCACATAGTGATTTTGTCCGTCTGTTCGTGCGTCGTCTTCGCACGTCTGCACGCGCCGTTTGTGAGGCCGTTCTTTGTGGCACGGCCTATAGCTGAGTCTGTAGTCTATATCGGTGAATGCATGCTTCTTCGCCCTTCCATCACCCCAGCTCCTTCCGTTCGAATTCTACCTCCTCATCTCTCCTCTCTCCTCGAACATGTCCCTCTCCCTGTGCCCTCTGCACCGCCCTCCTCTAACCCCTCCCCCCTACACCCGGCGGTGCCGGTAGGCGCGCGAGCACAAACTGGCCTATGAGGAGGCGCTGCGTGGACGGGAGGCGGAGGCCGAGGCGGCGCGCCGGCCCAGGGACGACCCGAGCCTCGTCATCCAGGTAGTACAGTGTTGTCGGGTGCCGCATGGGGTACCGGGCAACGGTGGACGGCGGTGGTGGGTCGCGGGGGGCTTGTTACGTCGAGAGAGCAGGGTTTCTGGCATGGTGTACGAAAGGGAGGTTGACGAAAACGAGAAATGGTTGAAAGAGTAGCGTGACGGTATGATTGGTTTAAAGACGATGAGTGTTTTCCGTTGGTGGATGAAGTCGTGCCCCCACGTCGGAAGGAAGGTAGAACTGGCGGAAGTTCATAGAGTTTCCTGCTCAATGAGTCAGCCTGTCAAAAGGAGAATGACTTCCTTAAACGCTGTGCGGCGAGCTCTGTCATCATTAGTGATAAAATCGGAGGACAGGGGTGCCGATTTGGAGCTGTTGATTACCAGTGCGATTAGCTTTCGGCTGGGACAGTTACGAGGAAACCGTGTCAGCCGAGTGGCTCTGTGGTCTGCCAAGCGGTTCAGCATTCTCTCATTCCGTCCTATTCCGCCGAACGCTGGCTATCAGTGGCCCATTCCGTGTATGCAGCTATCCGATACTGGGACGCGGGTCTCCCGGAATCTATATGACGCGTCACCCCGCCGTCACTAGGGTCCCGCTGTCACTGCAGTCAGGTCGGCGTGGATGACACCCCGTCACCCCGGTGTCTGAGTCACCACTGGCGGCGACAAGTGTCGGTAGTTCCGGCGACACGGCACACCTGCGGTGCCTGTCAGACAGGGCAGCGACCGGCGAAGTCCCCTCCCCTACCCTAACACGCTGCCGCAGCAGCTGCCTGTTCTGATACCTACTCATTGTGGCTGATACTCAGTGGAGCCAGGCGACGGAGATAGGTGGAGGAATCTGATGGCTGAGCGGGTGGGGCTCGGAGGACAACTTGCCCAGGGCGATATTATTGACCCGTGTTCTTTTGCGAGTCTTACTGAAGTTGCAATGGTTTGTGGTTATCCATGCTCTCCTCAAAACACATCGCCGGACCGGACGAAGGGGGCGGGGTATATCGCGGTTTACCAGGAAATCAGCGGCCTAACGGGCGGCGCTCGACGCGGGGTGGTCATCCTTCCTGTCGGGCGTCCGCCCATTCCCAGGGCGGTAGATTTGTGGCGTCACTGGTGTGAAGCGGGCCCGACCGGTCGTTAGTCAGTCGGTCGGCCGTTCTCAGAGCGGTAGGTTTGTGGCTTCACTGTTGTGACACGGGCCCGGCCAGTCGGCGGGGGCGGACGGGTGTCGGTCAGTCAGTGTGCAGTCTGAGTCAGCTGTGACCGGTGGGCTGAGGTGCTGGGAGGTTAGTCCCACGGAAAAGGTTGCATCCCATCGCATCAGTCCCCTTCCCAGCCGAACCCAGACTGAGGCTCCCAGTGGTGACGGCTCTGGACGTATCCCTGCGACTTTGTGAGTACTGCGTGCGGGTGAGACCGGTAAGGTGTATTTCGCTGCATGCGGTATCGCTCTGCTGGTGAAGTACGAAACGGTCTTGCTTAGTCATATGATTTTGCATGTTTTGACATCGGGATTTACCTCGCACAATTTCAGTGTATTTTTCTTCGCGTTCCTGCTCTAATTGGCTTGTATTATTCCCGCACCTTCCACGTTAAATTGAAATCAATATTAAGCTTTTCCTGTGAGGTTATTTCTCTTGATTTTACTCTGAAATGTGATCAAATGTGTCACTGTTTCGTAATGTTATATGCTGTTCGTGGATTTTTGCGAGCGAATGACGTTGGATTGCCCCTGTTGCTTCTTATGCTGACATCGCTGTTTTCCAATGTTTACCCCATAATGTCATCTGTGACATTGCTCATCTGTATTACCGTATACGGACGTGCTTGCCGTACTTATCGACTGACTGGCGGTGTACTAACGTATGTCGTCCGGTGGCAGGGTAACCTACGTGAGACGTACGAGCGGGCGGTGCAGGAGGCCGAGTCTCCGCGGCCCTCGTCCCGAGAGGAGGCCGTGGTGCGCGGTCGGGCGGCCGACATGGCCTCACGCTTCGAGCGAGGACAGCTGGAGACCGAGAATGGCGACGGAGCTACGAATGGCGACGGAGCTACCCAGAACGGTACGGCAGCGGCTGTGGTGTGGGCGAAGGCGTTACTTTGGAACATTTCGAACAACTTTGACAGTAGATGGGCGAGAACGAAGCGAGAACGCACAGAGTCATGAGCGAAATAGGACAAAAGACGGAGTATGTAGATTGTTGACCAAACCTCGAGAATTGGGCTCTTGAACAGCGATATTGGACAGCTGACATTGACTGGCTACCCGTGAGTGTGATTCCATACCGAGCAGGAAATTATGACGAAACTAAGACGGACATGCCAGTGAGGCTGTTGACTGCTGAGTGTATGCTGTGGGAACAGGACACATTATGATTTACCTTCTGATGCGCCAGCTCTGTTTTCCCTTGTTAGGAAGGCGCGATGATTGCCTTCAGCTGCGATTTGCCTCGTTCTGTGGCCCGTGAAGATTCATAAAACGAGAATGGCCCTGACTAAACACACCCGACTCGAAGGCTCTAATCCCATGGTGTTCGGCTCTAAGCCCGTGTAGGCACTGGCGTGTCCGCTGTTCGCTGACACAGTCACACATCTGATATCCCTGTTGACTCTGCCGCCATTCAAACTATGCTCGCTATCTAAATCCGTTGTAAATTCGCTGGGCCTGCCCGTGTGATGTCTCGATAGCCGGGGCTGGCCGGTGAGTGTGCTGTGACGCCGTACTGGCTGTGTCGCCGCCGCTCAGTGCCGCTGGACCGGCTGTGTGAACGGGTGCGACCTCTGACCTCGTCTGACCTGTGACCCGGCGATGTCGGCAGGCGTCTCGACCTCCGAGGAGCTGAACGGCGCGGCCGATACCAGCCCGACCTCCGATACCGGCTCCGGAGAGGTGGCTCGGGTAAGTGCTTGGGAATGGTGTCAGTTTGACCCTGCTCTGACCTCACTGTGACCTCACTGTGACCTCAGCGACCTGATTGACCTTAAGGGGACCGCCGAGCTTGGTTGGTGATAGTGATCTTGGTGCTGGTGCTGGTGTTTGGGTGGTATCAGGTTGAACGAATGGCCCGAGCTTTGTCTAATGCCAGGCCAACCGCAGATTTCATGACAATTTCGAGACCTTGATTCCCACTACATTCATCCTGTCATTTTAATGGCTTGCCTCGTTTTTTTTAATGACTTGAGATTCAATTTCCTTGTATTCGCCATTCACGAATGCCAAGGTGTCTATTTCCTTGTTCCCAAGAATCCTGTAAATAGAAATATACCTTGTTATCCGAAGACTTTCTCTTCCCATCCTTCTCTTCCTCCGACGGTGTCGGGCTATCCTATCCGTATTTTCCCTCCCTTTCCTCCAGCCTTGCATCTGTTTCACTCACTCCTTGTCCAGCGTCTACTGGCAATTTCCCTCATTTCCGTTCTCTTCTCTTACCTCTCTTCACCTCTCCTGTCCCAGCCACCTCCCTCCCTCCTCTCTCCCGTCCGTGCTCCTCACCGCCGCCGTCCTTACAGAGCGTGCAGCGGGGCCGGGCCCCGGCGGCCGCCCGGTCGGCCTGGGGCGGCCCCCGCGCGCCGCCAGCCGCCACCTCGGCCATCGCGGCCCGGTTCCAGTTCTTCGAGGCGCTGCGCTGTCCTCAGGAGCCGCGCCGCACCCGCTCACTGCGACTGCCGGCGGGCCGGCCGGCCGCGCCGCGAACCAAGGTCGGAGCTGCGGCCACTCCGGTACTGCTGGGGCTGCCGCTGTCTCACCTACCTGCCTGGCCAGCCGATAGAGCACCGCTAGTGCTGCTCAGCCTCACTATCTCTAGCTGCTATTTCCAGCACACTGACACACGGGGCACCACAGAGGACTGAAGAGCTGAGACCTCGCACAGACGTGCTGTAAATACGTTCTGATCAAAGAGCACCGAGAGCCTCCTGGTTACATTTTCCCGGAATGATTCTATGAATTTAAACGTCACATGTACATAATTCACATTTCTAAGATGTTTGTAAATATCAATGAGCACGACTTTTCACTAGAAGGTAATTGAGTCATAGCTCGAGTGCGACACACCTTTGAGAATCTGGTCTCCTATTTTTTTCTTTTTTTACCACGCCGAAGAACAGGACCTGTGGTCTCTGTCAGGGACCCACGTACCACAGCCGACTGTTTGTGAACACTCCTCTCACCAGATGACGTTTCAGCACCCGCTCATATCGCTCGTGCATCCTCCCCCTCCCCGGTCTGTACATAACCCCAGTGCAACACCCGACGCCAACTCTCGGCTCGAACCCGCAGCCTATCTCGGCGGCGTCCGTTCGTCCGTTCTATGGCCGGCTCTCAGTGCCGTCGTGCTGCGTTGGCCCTGTTTGCCCAACGAGCCGTATCCTGTCCGGCCGAGCGAGATCTTTATTGACCGCATTTGGCGCGCTCTATTGACAGTGGCGTGGGCTGGACACCAGCCAAGTATGTGAAGTGATTTGTCTCCGTTAGGGTTGAGTGTCTTGCACAGTTTATGTGCAGATCGCTGCCCTCTGTGGATATCTACATGTTGTGTGGCTTTTTGTGTCACTGTCTTTCCTGACCTGACCTGACCTCGGCAGGTGGAGTCGCCCGAGCAGCCGGCCGCCCCCGCCCCCGCCCCGGCGGCCGACCCTGAGCTGCTGAACAGTGACACCACCAAGCGGATGCTGAACAAGTTCAAACAGCTCGAGCAGAACGCCGGGCACGGCGACGAAGGTACGGCGCTGACCGTGTCCCGTGGTCCTAACTCTGAGCTCGGCCCTGACCTTCCTGACCTCTGACCTGACTCTGGCCTCGACCCTCATCCCTGGCCTCGCCACGCCAACGAGGGTACGATGATAACCCTATCCATATCCGAGACTTCTAAACTCTCTATCCGAATCTCCACCCTGAAGTCCGGCCACTCTGGCTCTCGGCTCTCGACTCACGTCCCCTTGCTATTTCTCATCTTATCATCTTGATCCTGATCCTGGCCCATGCCATTGGTTCCTGCTATCGAGGCGGTACCGGTATCCGAGTTTGAACGGGTAGATATTAGGGTTAGACAGACGTGTTTATTTTGCTTATGTAGTGTGTATTCGGCTTTATTGTGTGTTGTTTGCAACCACTTATCAGAGTGTGAGCACACGGTTGGATTTCCTTGTTTATCTTGAGGATGACACTAAGCATTAGCCACTCCAATCCCATCCTCGAAAACGAGTCATCGCGAATAGTAAGACAGCTGGTTGACTTTTTCAATGCAGAAAAAGAAAACGAAGCGAAAACGGTTCAGGAGCGCATTCAAGCCTTCATTGGACTACAGAACAGAAAGAGTAAAGTTGCTCCGAAGCCGTTGCGGGAGCTCAAAAAGGCCGCTAGGCCTCTCTACATTCGTTTCATTTAGTTAGCTTTGTCTGATCAATTTCTATAAGTAGCCCGCACCCTGCACCCTACCGTTAGTTAATCGTACAGACTGCGCACTCACTAACCGGAGTGGAACCGGCAGTTCAGTCCGTAGATCACCAGTGCTTGGCCTCGTATCGCTGTATTTATCAGTTGCTGATCATGGTCTGTTCTACAGTCAAACTCGCGGTGTTTTGTTAGCTGTGTTTTAGCGGCACGATCCGGTCCGCGCTAGAGCTGATTGCTACTGAAGTCAGGCTGCTTCAGCCTCCCTAAACTGCCTGCCTGTGTCCTGTGCGCCTGGCTTTGTCGCGGCACGGTCTCCCGTTGTGTTAGCTCGTTTCTGATTGGTTGCTGTGCGTGTGACGTCAGCAGCCGCGCACGGGGAGCTGAGTCCGCAGCGCGAGCGGCCGCAGGGCAACGCGCGCCAAATGCTCTCCAAGTACCGGCAGATGCAGGAGGCGGCGCAGCGGGAGGACCTGCCCGACGGTGAGGTCCCGAGACTCGTTCGTGCTCCCCCGCCCCATTCCCCGTCCCCCTCCGCCCCTCACAGACAGCCAGGCTCATCGGGGGTTCAGTTGTGACCGCCCACTCTGCACAGATAGGGTCAAATAGCCGCAGTTATCGTAATGCAACACTCGAACTCAAGTGAAATGCGCGTTCGGGCCAATCCCCGTTAGCGATGTTAAGTGGCTGTGACATACGCTTCGCTTATCTAAACAACAGCAGTGATTGTTCTTTGTTGGCATAATTGATCGATAAAGCACTCCATGTGCCGCCGGTGCACGCGATAAACCCTGTGTGATTGCGCTGAAGAGGTGTATTTCGTGTCTACCTCTATCGGTCGGTTGGTCAGTTGGCTCTGACGTGTGCCCGGGTGCGGTCGGACAGGCCCGCGGCCGCTCAAATCGTTCACCCCGCCGCCGGAGGAACCGGTGCCGTCCTCAGAGGACCCCGAGGACGCCGGAGAGGACATGGAGCCCGAGGAGGACCCCGACATCGTCCGCGCCAGCTCCAAGGTGCCCGACGAGTTCCTGAACAAGGTAGGGGTTTTAGACGGGAGTGGGGCAGGACGGAACGGGGCGGGGTCTGCTAGGAATGGCAGTCGGAGAATCTCATACCGGGCGGCGCGAGCGCGGTGACGTAGCGACCGATCTGGCATCACCAACCCATCTGGCAACGGATCGCGCGGTGCGTGACCTTCCTGTGAAGCGGTTATAAGAGGATAGATGACGCAATGCCAGGGAGGTCGAAATGCCGTGTCGGTACGATATAGGGAGGTGGTGGCCGGTCTGTCGCCAGTAGTACGGCAGAGTGATTAGCGGGAACGTGGCAGAGCGGGCGCAGGTCGCAGATATGGTACGGCCAGTGTGAGTGAGTGTGCCTTTACTTGCTCGCTGAGCGAAACGTACTCCTAAGCCGAGTGACGTGATGGCGTTTTCTGGTCGCCACCTGATTACAGGACTGCCAGTCCTCTGACTGAGTCTGGACTGAATCGCCATCTGAGTCCGCTGACTGACCCGTGTCCTCTGCCGTCCGCCAGAAAACCGACCAGGCTCGCAGCCTGCGGGAGAAGTTCGAGAGCTGGTCGCCGCCGGCCGAGCGCGGCTTCACGGTGGAGGAAGACTGCAAGCCCACTCCGGAGATCACCAGGAACCTGCGCTCCAAGTTTGAGTCGCTCAAGGAGCAGCCGAAGCCGCAGCCACAGACGCAACACCGCACCAGCAAGTTCATCGTGAGTGAAATGGATCGTTGGAACGGCGGGGGCGCCCGGTGCTGGGAGTGAAATGTGTCAAAAAAAAAAGGGTGGAGAGGTCACAGGAGTGAAAAGGTCATAATTAAGAAACATCACGATGGGAGCGGTTAGGTAGCTTAGGTGCACTCGTCATGATCTTGCTGCCGGATCATAAGTATCTGTCCGGGATGCAATTGAGGTCTTGCCTATTACCACGTTTAGCTGATTACATAGACCAGCACAGCTCCTGTGATGCCCGATGTTTTTTTTTTTTTTTGGAGATTCAACTAAGTAGTAACTGATCTGGCAAATCCGCTCAGACTCTGTCCATACCTGCTAACATGTCGAGCTGTCAGTTAACCATAGACCTCTGTACACCTCTGACCATAGACCTCTGTACACAGAGGTCTATGATTGGGTAGACCTATGCGCGTGCTGTGAGGCAGCCGTTGACCTGACCCGCCTCCGCCCCGTCTGCCAGCTGGAGCCGACCCAGGCGGCTGAGATGTGCGGCGCCTGCAATAAGCGTGTGTACGCCATGGAGCGACTCGAGGTCGACAAACGAATCCTGCACAAGAACTGCTTCCGGTGCTCCAAGTGCAACTGCGTGCTCAGGTGAGATTGGAATCCCGGCCGCGCTCAGGACGAGAACTGCTAAACCATGGTGTCCAAAGTCCTATTTATGATGTTCTTACCTTTGAGATGAGCACTGAAGGTGCTTATAATACTAGGCATGGCTACTGGCTAGGCATTAGTGACTGTGAATACGCCAGGTTCAATCGCATCTAATTCGTCGTGCTTTCATTGCAGAATGGATACCTACACTTTCAATGCAGGGAAACTATTTTGCACGCCGCACTTCAAGCAGATGTTCAAGACCAAGGGCAACTACGACGAGGGTTTCGGTCTGGAGTCTCGTGCCAAGCACTGGAGCGGCGTGGCCAGTCACAACGAGCAGACCGGCGAGCGGACGGGCGCCGGCAGCGCCTCCCCGCGGCCGGCCGACGAACCAGCCGACACCAACGGCTCCTCCAGCCTGCCGGACACCAACGGAGCCCACAGCCCGGAGCGGGAGCCGAGTCCGCAGCCGGAGCGGGAGCCGAGTCCGCAGCCGGAGCGGGAGCCCAGTCCGGAGCCGCAGCAGCCGGAGCCGGCCGAGGAGGCTGATGTGTTCCAGCAGGTTTACGAGTCGACAGTGGCCGACGGCCTGTGATGAGGGAGCGACTGTAAGGGCGACTGTGAGCGCGAGTGGACTGTGTATGTGTGTGAATGTGTGACGTTTTACCGCTGGGCCGGGCGCTGGACCGGCCCGGTCCGACGGCTCGGACCGAACGCCGGCAGAGTTTTACCGAGAGATGGAGAGTGGCCGAGTCAGTCCGGCGAGCGCCGAGTCAGAGTCACCGGCGGAGTCACGGCGCGGACTCCGCGCGAGTGAGACTGCTGAGAGACGGACCCAGAGTTGTACCACCGCAGACAGCGAGACTGTGAGACGGGCCGATAACACGCAGCGCGAGCGACCGCTTCAGTTCCCGCTTCTTAGATGAATTTTATCAGTCTCGCACTTCGTATTTTGTTATTTTAAAGTGCTTTGTATACGATGATCGAGAGCCATTTAAATATAAGTTAAAGTCTTAGCCGATTGTTTGATGTATGCGAATGTGTCGGGCAACTGTCTACCAGATCGTGGCGGTCAGTAGGCGTTGCAACGTCTGTAAGTTAGTGAAGATGTTCCTTCCTTAGCCTTTCCACCGCTATTTGTTCCTTTTTGTTCACAACATACCGGGTCGCCAGCGGATCGCTGGGCGCAAGAGACGGTTAGAGGTTGGGATGAACCGGTAAGACCGTTGACTTCTGACAGCGCGAGCAGACTGGTCACTGCTGAACCGTAAAACGACACGAGACGCTCGGCCGCCGACCGGGCCCTGGCGCCGGTCCTTTGTTTGTGTTTGATAGGCGTGGATCCTGTCTGTCTCATACCCCGCTCGGGGACTCCTGCCGGGCCTCTGTCGCCGGATTCATAACCCGCTCGACAGGAACCGTGTTCTGAATTGGGGTCGGACGAACACCTGCTGCGTTCAGCACCTGGACGGTCTTTCGAAAATTCGAATGCTTTGAATGGGTTGATTGACGAGGTCAGAACCCATAATAAGCATACCTTGTCGCGCAGGCCCTTGCTTCCATATTTCGATCAGGGAGAATGAGGAACACGTGCTCCGTCCCTCACAACCGAGCGAGATCCATCCCACTCGACAGACTGCTCCCTTTAACCGCAAGACCATCCCCGCCAGGAGTTGTATATCGAGCGTCCGAGCGACTCGAACCAGAGTCCTCATCATTGGCAATCAGACATTTTACCAACTGAGTCGCCACCGTTCGTACATTTTTTATAGATATTTCCAGGTGGATGAAACACGATCTTCACCACGGCTGCCCACAGTGGCGTACACACCGCGACCATAAAATCAATCATGTATTGCTTACATGTCTTTAAGTACAAAGCTATCTCACCAGTATTCAAAGTACAAGACTGTAATCACTAGCGATCACAAAATCAAGCTCGGCGGGTCCGGGCGGCCCCACATCGGCCCCGCACGGGGGCGGGGCGGACCGGCCCGGCCTCGCCCCATATATGAGCATACAATGCCGCACCGTTTCGCCGCTGTGGACGGCGGACGGCCCGCCGTAATGAGGGACGATGATTGACTGATCAGCCGCTCGGCCCGTCACAGAGATACGAAACACAACACAAGCACCGGTCAAAACGGCCTAAAAAATGTGCGCCGCCGGGCGTCGGGAAGCGCTAATGCACATGGCTGCGGTTGGGAGCCGGCCGGCCGGAGCGGGTGGAGTGGGCCCCTCGGCCGGTGAACCGCGGGGGCCCGCTCCGTGCAGCCATCTCCCGACGGAAGTGCTCACGGCTCCGGCCAGCCCCACTTCCGGTCAGCGCGCTTCGCGAGCAGCCCGGCTTCCGTTGAGCATTGTCACAGGCCCGCCCGACGGTCGGCTAAACTAGACAAAACACTGAACTGGGCGCGCGCTGCGCCTCTCACTGATATCACACGGTAGCGCTCCGTTCTGTCGCTCGCAAAGCATACGTACTCCAAAATAGTAGCGCACATAATCGTTGTGGTCCCTTGGACGTCAGGATCCGCTGGACTAGGCTGTAGGCAATCTGTGGGCACTGTCCGCCGGCAGCGCAGTTCGCCGGGCACGGCGCGGCACCACTCGCACATTCACAGGGTGTGACGCCACGGCGTCGTCACTGTCACGGGACGCGGCGCCGCGCGGCACTGTCCTCGGCGCGCGCCGGCCGCTCAGTCCGTCCGCCCGCCCGCCGCAGCCGACTCCACTGGTAGATCTCGCAGTCCCTGATTGGAGAGACGCCGCCGCCGCGGCCGGCCAGCGCCAGACTAGATCTGCTTCATTTTGATCTTTTGCGCGGCGGTGATGTTCTTCTTGAGCGCCGACACGTCTCCGGCGATGGTGAGGAAGGAGTGGGCGAGCAGGTCCTCGGCCGAGGCCCGGTTATCGACCTCCACCTCCAGACAGGCGTCCAGGAAACTCTGCAACAGAGCAGGGATGGCAGTGTCAGTCACAGCGCAACGAACAGCTCGCGATTCAGTCCAGGGCGGTGTCGGTGTTACATCAGTACCGCCAAAAATACACAGCCAGCCAATATTCACGAGCAATCATTGCAAGTTGCAGCACATAGCAATGTAAGCTAGGCGTCAATACGTCGCTGAAATTTACAGAATCACTAAAATAATCTACAATCCACACATACCAGACTAAACACATCACACTAGCCTCGGCGGGTTCAGCTGTAGTGTACTGTAAATGTTCAGCTCTCGCTGTAACACTGCTGTCATTCGACATTCATCATATGACAGAGCATTTCACAGGACAGCTGCTTGACATATTCAGCGTGCAGCGTGGAGAAACAGCCGAGCGATGATGAAAAGATATGAGAGATCGCTCACTAATCCAGCTGCAGAGCTGCTGCACGGGCCGACGGCCGTGGCCGATTCCCACCCGCCCAGCCCAGCCACCCGAGTGAAACCGTCTTCCCACGTCAGCTAACTTCTCAGTTTGACAGCCGACTCGGATCAAAAGTCCGCAGAACTGCGCCCGCCCCGCTGGGGGCTCGCTCAACTCCGTCCGGCCCCCAGCCGAGATACTGTTAGCAGGCCGGGCGGGCGCCCGACGGACCCCGCTCCGTGATGAGCCCTGGAGGAGGGAGGGGACACCCTCCGACGGACTGGAGCCGCTACAAAGGAAGGTGACTCATCGATCAGCGACCCAGTCACGGGACCCAGCCATCTCTCCGCTCCCCCGCCGATCGACCGCCAACTTCTGCGGACGTAAACACAGCTAAACGGGCCGCATAAACGGGTGGCTGCTCGTTTCAGCCTCTGGAAACAAAGATAGTGTTCGCCGTTCGGTAGCGGGCAGATGGAATAAGAAATCCTACATGACGCATCGTCACAGCCCGGTGTATGGCCCAACGGCGTAAAGGCCGCCCCACATTGGAACTCGCATGCGGGTTGAGGGTTTGCGGGTTTTGGGTTTGCGGGCATAATACTAATTCATAGAGTGATTGGACCGTTTCCTTGTAGTAACTTCATGAATGCAGTGAAGCCGGTACACCTTCAGAAACTTACATATAGTCACAATACCAGCGCATCGAACCAAAATTTGACTCCAACGAAAAACCCGCAAACCTCGCAGAACTCGCAGACCTCGCAGCGAGGAAAATCAAAAGTTGACTCAAAACCAACTTTTGGAATGCAATGCAAGGTCGCTCGCAAGCTAAAAACATGCAGACTCGCTTGTTAGATGGTATGGTGGGTCACTCAGCTTAGATTTTATTTGATTTTGAAGAAACCCGAAAACCCAAAAACTCGCAACCCGCATGCGAGGTCCAGTGTGGGGCGGCCTTAAGGCTCCGTGTCAGTCCGTCTGTGTCACCGTGTCAGTCCTGCGTCAGTCCCTGTCTGTGTGTCAGACCCTGTGTCGGTGACAAGCCAGCTCGTTCTCTGAGAGTGTCGGCCGACTTTGACCGTGTTTTTCCTGTTCGTGTCACAGCCGGGAGTCACGACATCAACACAGGCGCCGCCGCCGGTCGCGGCTCGCCGGCCGATCCTACCCAGACACCCGGTCCCGGCCCGCCTGGTAGTCCGACCTCTGATCGATAACGAGAGGAGAGGGAGGCTGCTGCACGAACGGGAAACGATAGCGGGCGCCAGCCCCGGCCCCCGACAGTAGCGCTAGTTCTCCTGCAGTCGACTGTCGACGTGAAATCTGCACGAACACCAATGAAATTGTGCGAGGCAGTTATGTGCGTAGAGAAAATAGGGCAAAGTTGATTGGCAGTAAGTGTTACGACATATCCGAGCCAACGCAGCCAACTCGTTAGAAGCATACGCCAATCGATGTTTTAGCGGCCAATGCTCCCACAAGCAGGACGAGGTCTGCAACCACCTAACAAACCACAGACGGCGCTGATGTCACAGCACCTGTACTTGACGTCCACTCGGCTGTCCCCTTCCGGAGCATCTCCCCCCGTGTTCCTGTCCTCCCCTCCCCCTCCCAGCTGCACGCACGGCACTGTGCCCCGCCCAGCACTCGCTGAGCTCGGGTGTTTGTATGACGTGTCTGCGGCCGGTGGCGGCAGTTTTCCTGTCGCCGCCGGCGTCATAAGCCGGCCGGCGCCGCCGTAAGCAGATCAGCCGGCGGGCACGGCGGAACCAGCGACCGGCCGTTGTCACCGCCCGCACAGAGACGGCCAACGTCGACGGCCGACAATCCACAGACGGTCTACCGCCCATAAAGACCCGATAAATGTCCACACGAGACGAACTACCTATCGTCCACGCGGAGACGGCCTTATGTCCTGATGTACTCCTAAAGTTGTCTGCCGTCCACAAGGAACTGGTGTAACGAAGGAATGTCCGTGGCCGATGTTATAAATAAAAGCTATTCATGAGAGTTGGGTATTGGCGAAAACGTTTGTGGCCTACCTGGCAATTACAATCCATTCACTCATTGCCACGCGCGACCATCTACTAACGAAATTGCACTCGGAACAGAGTGCGACTCTTAAAAAAGCCATAAGCACTGCTGCACTGCCAATTTTTTCCCGGCTGAGTGGTAGCTACTCACCCTGAACGGGTCTGAGGCCGTGTATCCGGAGCTGATCTCGGGGAGGGGGAGGGGAGGGTTTACTGCCACTGTCCTACTCACCCTGAAGAGGTCTGAGACCGTGTACTCGGAGCTGATCTCTGGCTTGCCGTGCGTGGCAATCAGGTACAGCGCTCGCAGAGGCGCCTCGTTCAGGTAGGGCGGCTCGCCAGTGATCATCTCAATGGCCATGATGCCCAGAGACCAGATGTCCACCTTCTTGCCGTACTTTTTACGCGTCACCACCTGTGGGACGGGAGGAGAGGGACGGCCACAGGTCAGCGTGGCTCAGAAACCCAGAGAATCAGACCACTCACACCAGAACACGGCTGACAGAGCACGCAATCTGATTACACCTAACCACATCTGATGTGCTGACGTTTTTACAGTCCGTCGGCGGCAGCTAGCACGCTCCGGCTCCACCCACTGACATATCAGGCCCTGATCAACATTA